AGAGCCCCCCAGCCCCCACCCGTTGCCAGCCTGGCAGGGGCCCAAGCCTCCCCAGGGACCGGCCAACCCTCCAGGCACGTAGGCGCTAACTGGACACGGAAGCTGGCGGCCACAGGCAGGCACGCCCCACCCAGCACCGGGCTGGGCACCACCCCCATGGGAACCAAGTGGACCCTGTGTCCCCCCAGGGGCCGGGGCACACGTGCAAGATGGCTGTGTCCTGCTGCAGGCCAGGGACAGCCACGTGGTGCACCCTGCGGGCAGGCGGCCTGTGGCAGAGCTGAGCAGCCACAACAGCACATGTGTGAGGCCGGGCGCGGGGACAGATCGCAGGCCGGCCGAGGACGCACACAGGACTGCGGTCTTGCAGGTTGTGGCTTTTATTACTCAGGGAACAGGGTGTTCTTGGGTGCAGGGCACCGGGTTGGGGCTTGGGGACAGGAAGACGGGTGGGGACCAGCCTGGGCAGAGGGTGTGCCTGCTCCTGCCTCCAGGCTGTGCTGAGGGCCACCAGGGGCGGGCAGGTGGCCGTGGGGCGGAGGCGTGAAGACCTCCTGGGTTAGCCAAGCAGGATCTGCGGGCATGGACCCCTGGGAACTGTCCCTCTGTGGTCTGAGCAGCCAGTGAGTTCCTGTTTTTTCCGCCGCCACTCGACCTGTGGGCCCCTCTCCACGTAGCAGCTGGGCAAGACCCACCTCAGTCGCTGCCCACCCTCGAGCACCAGGGAGCCGAGGGGCTGGAGGGGGTGCAGCCTGCTGGCCGGGCCTCGGGGTGAGGGTGGCTGGTCTTGGGGAGCTGGACAGCGGGTGGTGGGGCTGACAGCAGGCCAGCAGGGCTCCAGAGGCGGAGCCATCGGTGGACTTTTGCCTCTCGGAGGCCTCCGTAGTCTTGGTAGCATCGGCCCGGCGGCCTGCTGGGACTGGGGACAGTCAGGAGTGTGGGCCCAGCTGGTGACCTTGGGGCGGTCACTCACGCCCCAGTCCTCTTGGCCTCATGGAGACCTGCCAGGAGCCAGGCAGGAGGCCAAGTTACCTCCAGCGCTTGCTCTGACCTTGACCCTGAGACGTTAGAGCAGGCCTCTGCTCAGCAAGGGTCAGGGAGGCCCCAGGCCCCGTCCCTCTCCGAGCCCTGGGGGTGCCCTCCCTGCAGCCCACCTAGCAGGGCTGAGATGGGAATGCCTGTGCCAGCCCCAAGGACGATGCTCAGAGCAGCCACTGGAGGGTCCCCCCAGGCCACTCCAGCCAGCAGCTGGAGGGACCTGGCTTTAGGGCCGATGTGCAGATGGCATGTGAGTGCTGGGGCCACCGCCTGCCTCCCCCCTGGGCCTGGTGGAGCAGGTCACCTGGGGTCGCAGGGTGGACGGAGGAGCACGCAGCCTGCAGGGTGTGGTAGTGGTGGCCTGCACTGGGGGGCTGTCCACAGCCTGCTGGCACCTGCCAGCCGCTGGCTGCTCGCTTGGGGCCTTGCCCCATCGCCACGTTGGTCACCCACCACCAAGCAGGTGCTCCCGCAGCGCCTGTCAGCCCCGTGTCCTGGGTGCGGGACCTGCTCTAGGACCTGCTCCAGTGCTCATCTCACCCTCGGCAGCTGTCCCTCACCAGGCCCTCCTCCCTCACCTCAACTCCTGCTTCAGTGCCCACCCGCCATGCCGCCAGCCCTGCACTCCCCTCCAGCCCCACCTGCCCTCGCAGACACGTGGCCTCGAGTCCCAACTTGCAGCCTTTGCTGCAGCCAGCAGGGGCCCAGCCCCCCAGGAGAC